GTATCTCACATTCAAATACCTTAAAAGCAGTAACTGCAGGGTAAGAAGAGCACCTGCTTACAGGCCAAAGGCCTTCCTGCGTCAGGCACTCCTTGCCTGAGTGGGGAGGGCAGCCAGCGGAGAAGCCCAGCCTCCCGTGGGGCATTTCCACAGCCAGGGAGCAGCCACAGAAGGCCCTCTGCTGCATCGCCACCCGACCTGAAGCAGGGCCCCCGGAGCCCTCAAGGATCGGGCAGGCTCCACCGGGAGGAAGCCGTCTTCTGGGCACCCAGGTCCCAGGCCACCCAGGGCTTCCCAGGCCCCTCCCGCACACAGGCTCCCTGGAGCTGCCCATGGCCCGGCTGCAGCAGGCCAGGCCGGCTCAGATTCTGGACGATCTTCTGGGCAGCCCCACGCACGGCGTCTTACCGGAGCGCCCATGGAATGCAGCTAAGGCACATGTGGCCAGCACTGCATCCGACATCTCCAGGAACACGAGCAACCGGCGCAGCAGCCTTGGCAGCACAAACTGCAGGACCTGTGCACCAGGGTTCAAGGCCACACCCAAGGCTGCATGCACACCGTGGGCCGCTCCTAAGGGGGAGCAGCGCCCCCGCTGCACAGGCTGATCCTCTCGTTCTGACCTGCCCTTCAGGAGAAAAGAAGCGTCGCTGCCTGTCTGGTCCGCCACCGACGCTGGCCGTCTGTCTGGCACCCGCAGAGCTTCCTCGGACTTAGATGGAAAGCACAGGCTTTTGGACTTGGGAGTCACAGAGCAGATTCCAGGATTCTTGCTTTTGCATTAGCATCACATCTGCCTTCCGCCCTGCATCCCCAGCCTTCAGGGGACTCGGGCCGACGCTGTGCATCGTTCCCAGGACAGCCACAGTGAGCCTGGAGGGCCGCAGCCACCCACAGCTCACCGTCTCACGGACTCAGCAGAGAAACCACATGCCACAGGCTCTCTCTCGCGTAAGGGCTCAGGCCACACTCACGGCCAAGCTGGGCCCGCAGAAAGGGGTGCCGGGCACGCAGCCGCCCCACCAGCCGCTCTCGCGCTGCAGCAAGTGCCACGGCCGGGCGGCGGCGGCTGGGGCTCCGCAGGGCGGACCCTCGGGTGGCGGGGCGGCAGGGGGCTTTCCCCAGCAGGGCCGCCCACCCTGCCACTCCTCTCTTCACTGCCTCAGTCTGTACGGTCAGAGGACAAGCCCCGGCTGCAGCAGCCACACACTTGCTCAGGGCAGAACTGAGCTGCAACCTGGCTGACGTTGTCCCTGGGACCGAAGAGCTGTGCTGGATCAGGCCAGCACATTCTCCCAGCTACCAGCAGCCCATGGCAACCCACAGGCACCGCCTGAATGCGAGGAAAGCACCCCAGCCCAGCCCTTGTGCTCCCCAGGGACTGGTTCTGAGGGCAGTGCCCCCACTTCCGGAGGCCCCATGCAGTCACTGCGACCAACGGCCTCCAAGAGCCGTGTGTTGAACAAGTCCAACCCTCCCTTAAAGCCACCTGAGAGAGAAATCATCAGTGCACCTTCTGAGAGCAAATTCACTGGAGTGCAAGGAGGAGTCCTTCCCTTTCCACTGCATGACCCCACCGGATACCAGGACAGAGAGACTGAGACAGAGAGATTGAGATTGAGAGAGAGAACCTTCTCACTATACACCTTCTCTGCACTGCGCATAATTTTATGCACCTGATCACATCACTCACCCCAGACTTTTGTTCTAAGCTGAAAGGCCAAACCAGCCTCATTTTCTGCCAAAGAGCAGTTACTCCAATCCTACATCGTTCCCACTCCCCTCCTTGGCACTCAAGTTAAATCAAGGATGCAGAAAGTATTTCCCATTGGTGATAAAAGTTAACTCTGGGAAGAAATAATGGTTTCCTCTTTCCCAAAATCTTTGCAATGGAAAAGCATTGCTGACAACTTTGTTGCGTCTTGGAGCATTTAAACGGTTTAGCAGACCAAGCCACCATTCTCCGCTGACAAGCCCACCGCTTGTTAAGAACAAGCTTTAAACTGCCCTCTTGCACACAAGAGCCGTTGGCTTGTAAACAGCATGTGACCTCCTGGCAGGAGATTAAAGGGGAAAGTGCTCTGCATTCTCCTGACCTGAGCAGGAGAAAGAAACAGGAGACAATCTCTCTATTGTCCCAAGCACTAAATCGTAAACAAACTACCCAGGAAAGCACAGACTTGCTAGACAACTTTTCTGGATGCAAAACGAAAGAGAGGCCCACCTGGAAACCCTTGCCTAGATTGTTGCCCAAGCCCTGCTGTCTCCTGAGCCAGTTCTTGGCTAATAAAGACGCCTGTCCCGGACCCTCACACTCCATGAGCCTCTGAGCAGACGAGCACAGAACTGAGCCACCTGCAAGCCGTGCAGGGCTGGGGGGCGCTCACACGCACCGGCGGCGGTGCTCGGCCTGCTCCTGCTGTCCAGCCAAATCCTAGCCAGAAACATCTCAGTCAGAGAGTTCACCAGTGAAACTGTTGCCCCGGAGCAGGAACTCCAAGAGAGCACTGGCCACGCCGAGGCTCCTTAGGTGCGCCTGAGCAAGCACCGCGGGTGCAGGCCGTGCCGCAGAACTTGCTGCCGAACTAGGGGGGCTTGCAGCACCCCAGCCTTGCTAAACATGCAAATCCAGGCAGAAAGGCTCCACGGGGTAGTTTCCATCCCATAAACCGCGACTGTGGGGCACTTCAAGCGTGGCTCACGGGTGTGAGGCTCTTTCTGCCTTTGTTACAGGCACAATCAAATCAGCCTACAGGTAATTTAAGGTCCCATTTCTCCCTCAGACAAGACAAGCCACCTCTGCCTGGACAACATGACAAGCCACAGCGGACACGAAATGGTGCTGAGCATTACAACAAGCAACAGCCACTTGCTTGACAGCACTTGCTGGGATGAGGAATCAGCAGGAAACTTACATGAAATGCCAAAAACGCATCCTTCTAAATGAGAGATCTGTGTTTACTGCACCTGAGAAAACCTTTTACAGAACTCCAGAACTTACATCCCAAACTTTTTTACCCCAAGACCCAAATTCAATTTTGGAGAAGCTCTTCAGGACACATGGGGCAGGGAGCAAAGACCAGAGCGTGAGGCCCAAATTCCAAATATGCAGTACAGTTTGGCTTAAAGATCTTACTATTGGCTAGTAGGTCTTGGGCAGTTCAGCCTTCGAGAATGGAGAAAGGCCACCCAAAGGCAGGGAAAGTGCCGAACTGAGGACAGGGGAGGATCCGGCCAGAAGGGCTGGATTGGACCAGGGCCAGAGGTTCTGCACCATGCTGTGCCTTGAAAATTAATCTGATGAACTACATTTTATGCTGTTATGGAACAGGAGAGCTAAAGAGAATCCCCACTGGTTTGCTGACCATACCAACACGGAGAGAAAAGGCAAACCGTGAAGTGATCCGCCACCAGGACGCTGCAGATCCAGCCCAAGCTCCCGCCACTTGCCACTCAGGGCGGCTCTGGAAACCGGCTTTCGGGCCTGCCCCAGCTCTTTCTGTGGGTACCCAAAGTGACGGTCGGTGGCCGTCACTAAACGAGCACCGTGGGATCACTGTCCTCCTTAAGCAGCCCACGGGTGCGAGGAAACGGGTCTCCGTCGGCCAGGGGGCGGCGAGTCGCGCGCAGAGGCGTGCCTGAGCCGGCCCGTTCCCACGACCAGCGGGCGCATCTGCACGGCGGCCGCCCCTTCGCCGCACCCCCAGACTGCCGCCGCCGCCCCGGCGCAGGGCGGGCACGACCTCTGGCGAGGCGCGGGGCCGCGAGGGCGAGCGCCCACGCCCGC